TAAAAAATGATAAGTATAAAACACTCTTAGTGGTGATATTTGGAATTTTAGAAGATAAACCCTTCTTTCAACTTTTGGTGACAGAGGGTGATGATCAGGAAAGTCTTGTTGAAAGAGACTGTACCTGAGAGGTGGCTTGAAGAAAGAGAAAGATTCTAACAAATAGGAGATGTGGAGGAAGTACATTCCAGGGACAAAATACAGAAGAGACATTCAGCAAAAGAACTTCTCAAATTAGTGCTTGTTTGGGGCTTTCTATTTAAATTCAGTTGTTCTTGGTCTTGAATTTTGAGAGATGATTTGCTAGGTGATACTATCAACTTAAGGAGCCTTAGGGATAAAGGGGTCTCAGAGGACTAAAGGATATGCCTCTTTTCCATGAACCTTATGCCCTCTTCTCTGTAGAACACAATGTGGGAAGTTCCCTGATTTACCACAGGGACTACATTACTTCCCTGAAGTGAATATAATTCACTACTACACCAAGTACAATGGTCATTCAAAGATCAACGGTCTCTACTAGAAAGATTAGATGCCCATCATTCTCCACAAACTTGTAACCAAAGGAGAAATCACTGACTGAGAGACTGCATGTGGTAAGTCATTTCTGTTTTTTTTTTTTTTTTTACCCGTATAGTTATTTCCCTTCTCTCTTCCTCTCTTACCAGGGACATAGGACAGAGTTTTAGAATGTTGAGCGTATGAAACAGTACAAAAATACAATTTTAGAAGAGAGAAGAAAAGTTTGGTTCATTTTCCTTTACTTTGCTTTTCCCACTTTGTTATTTCCAAAGTTTCCACCTTTTTTGATGTGAGAGGAAAGGGAGGGTTTTGCCTGTATTCACAGAATTGTAAAATTAATTATACTAGGTATCACAGAGAGAATCATTTTTCTTCAGTAAAACTTACCTAGTCTTTCCAGTATAAAGGAGATAGATTAAACTTATGATTTTGCTTTTTAGAGTTTTAACCAATCCCATTTTAAATAAAGCAATGAAAGAAAATGAGAGGAAATTATTGATCTTTTTGAGAGCTCATTTATTTTGAGTACCCCCACAGAACATAGTATATTTGAAAATACTGCATAATTTCATAGAATCATAGATTTTTAGAGCTAGAAGGCCTTTTTATTTATTTATTTATTTATTAATCCATTCCCTTTTTATCTCCACCCCTGAATTATGGATGAAGGAATTTAAATCAAGAGATGCTAAATGTAACATAATTCTTTAGTAAGAGAGTCAGGAATAGAACTGTGACCAGCTTTATCCTCATCCAAAGGACATTCCAGTCCACCATACTACTGCCCAGTTTTTAATAAATCCTTGCTAATGGTAGCCATCTCTGGGTGGGTGGGGGAGAGAAGAAAAGAAACAAAAAGGAAAGAAATGTACATTATAGATTTATTATATATTTAAAAGGAATAGCAAGTTGTACATAACAGATTTGCAGTTTCATACATAATCATCCTTTTTTTTTTTTTGATTATACCATGTTATGGAAATGCTTGTTTTACTCCATAAATAAAAATGAAATAAATAAAATTAAAAATAAAATAAAAAATGCTTTTTAGTGTGACTTAATCCTTTGTATCTGGAAAGTGCTGTATAAATTAAAGGAAAAAAATTCCCTTCCATTTATTTCTTGTTTTCTTTCTGATATCTCAATTTCTCATATCTTGAAATCATTACAAAAGCAAAAAAGCCCAGAATTTTACTCATCTTTATGCATGAATATCCTTTAGGCCAGCCTAGATTAAGGAAAAATCTTAATGAGGGAATATTTTAAGACACACAGATTTCAATATTTTTTCAATATTTCCAACTATTTTAAATATTCAACAGTAGTATGGATTTGAGTATTTTTCCTAGCTTGAATATTGGAAATGGAGTTAGAAAGTACTGTGAAGAAATTTTTAGCAACATTTAATCAATAAATATTTGTTAAGTGCCTACAGTGCCAGGCTTCTGTGCTGAGCAGCAAAACATCCCAGGGACTTGTTTAAGGAATAAATAACAACGGTAAAATATTCCAAATTATAAATATTAGGAGGCCCCAAACAACTTGAAAACAATAAATTTTCTTAATTAAGTGAATTATTGCTTCTCTAAAATCCATTTCTACATTAATTTGCTAAAAATATTCTTTTTTCATAGCTGGGGCATAGATGATTTTTGACCATGCTTGTTGTAAGTATTGCCAATTGTGTATGATGATGAAACAATGAACTTGGGTGGAAAGAGCACTAGGTTAAATCACAGGAAAACCAAATCTGAGTCCTATGATCATCACTTTCAATGTGATGTTGAGCAAATCCCATCACTTCTCTGGGCCTTAGTTTCCATGCCTGAAAAAGAAAGATTTGGAGAATTTAGATTAAAATTTATTAAAGAACCTCTAATTTCTTCCATCTCTAAAATGCCATGATTCTCAATCTTCCCATTCTAAAAACTCCTCATACCTTACATAATAAGCATTTGTATGCAAAAAAATGTCTTCCTCTCAGGGGATTTAAGTCCATAGGTACATGACATCAAAACATTTCTTTTTAACTTAAAAAAATTCCTTCAACTTTATATCAACTGGAGAATATATTTTTGATGAGTTTTGAGGTCTCAAAGTATGAACATTTCCCTTTTAGTCAGTGCAAAATTCCCACCCCCCTCCCCTGAATGAACTCTCTTAATGGAAAGGCTAATTTTGCATAATAATTAAATTTATCTCTTTTTTTTTTAAAATCTCAGAATGAACTAGTTTAATCATGCAAAAACTTTCAATCATCACTTTGTCTTTTATCCTTATGATCTGAGGAGATTATTGATAGTTTAATGAACAGTGATGGCATCATTTTCCAGTGTTTCTCATAACAGCTAAGAGAGTTTTAATCAATCAATCACTCAATAGACATTTATTAATCATTTACTATGTACCAGACATTGTATTAAGTGTTGAGTTTCCTTTCAATGAATTTGTTGAACTGATGTCAATCACCTGGGTCTTAAGAAAGAAAACCTATTGGTGGCAAGGGTGGAAAAGAAGGTGATGGTAATAATGATGCAGTGAAGGTAAAGGTGCATAAAGAAATAGGGTTATGATAGCTAAGAAAGACATGGTTGTGCTTAATTTATCTTCCTGTGTGGATGTTTAGGTAGCTTTTTTTTTCCTTTTTGGTCCAGACCATCTGTGATTTAGTTGGTACAGGAACTCCCCTCCTCAGCAACAGTGTAGATTGGCACCTGCCTGCAGTTTATAGTCTTAGAACATTTCCTGAAGGACTGATAGGTTAAATGAAAACATGTAGTCATTAGGGTACTGAAGACTGTCCACTCTTGAAGGAAAAGTTTAGTCTGTTTCACTGGACAGTTGATGCACAGCTTCTCCTCCTCTCACAGATCAAAATATCATCATCAGGTCATATGGACCTGAAGCAAACTTAATATTATTTATTCTAACTATATCATTTTAGGCTAAGGAAACTGAGGACCAAGATAGTAAGTAATAGGAGTTTTGAGCTCCTCTGTTTCTGAAATTTTCTATTTATATCAAACTGCTACTGAATTAGGTCAATTAAATCCTAGAATTCCATTTAGTGATGTATTTTAATTATTGATTAGTCACATATTGGACACATTTCAGGATCATGTCAGGATCTTTATTCTGGTCAACCATCTAATGATTTTTTATTAAGTGCCTATTCTGAGCCAGTGAATACAACCATTACCATGCTGAAGCCTCAGATTGCGTTTTGGAGTTCTCTGATTAAGATGTTGGATTAAGACATTTATTTTGGATTTACATAGGAATCTTTGTGTAGCCCTTCTTGCCAAATCTGATTGTTGACTTCTCTTATTGGTTCTCGCTTGGAATCACAAAATCATCGAATGTTAAATATGGGTGGGATATTTGAGACATGAGCTATCTCAGAGGTTTCTCAACTGTTTATTTATTCTTTTTAATTCTTCTTGGCTTTTTTTTTTAGTATCCCTTGACTTTTAGCAAACCTTCACATACCCCCTATTCAATATGAAAGGAAATAAATTCTAGAATCTGCCATGCATAAGCATAAGACAAAATAAATATTTAATCATTCATAAAATTAATAATTATGGATTTAAACTTAACATTAAATTAAATTTAATAAAAGTAAAATAAATAATATTTTATTAACATACTTTTAGATAATGAAGTTGTTAAACATTTGTCACAACACAGTAAAATAAATCTGCATGAGCCATGATTTTATTTGTCCACCAACAATTTTATTGTCAGTATAGTTTTTGATATAAATATCTGCATATGATGTTCAGCCTCCAGTTTCTTTTTTGCCTTGTATTTGAGAACAGGATTGATAATCCTGATTCACAGAGAATAATTTTTAAAATTTACTGAAAGCTTCATGGAACATTTTTAAAATTAAGAACTCTTTTCCAAGTTTATGTCAAATATTTAACTTCATTGGTTGAATTAAAATTTGGAGTCTCTCCTTATCATTAGGGATCAATCAGATCATCTTTCACTTGGTGGATTTTTTTTTCTAGTTCATTTCGATAAGAACTTCTATTCAGACCTCATTCACTTAGTTTGATCAACTTTTTTTCAACTGTCTCTTTTTTTCCAGATGTTTTCTCTTTTCCAGCCTACCTCCACCTTTTTACCATTCCCTCTTCATCCATAATTTTTTTCAGTTAACACTATTACTTTTGAAATATTTCAATAGGGTAATATAGCTATTTTTTTTCAAATATTCCACATACATCTTTCACCAGATGCTCCTTTTCCTTTGGGGTATGTGCATCTCACATAGATTGGGAACCCCCAATCTCTCAAATCATATTGCCATATATATCATTGCAAGACTGGTTAAATGAACATAAGATGTGGTTTCATATTTATGTGGGAGAATATTTATTTGAGCATTAAAAGTAGAGAATTATGCTCTTTTACATTCTAATAAATATTACTCTCATTTTTTCCAGGAGGTTTATAGTAAAGATGAATGAATGGCTGAAGTAAATCATTCTACAGTGTCTGAGTTTGTGCTGTTGGGACTTTGTGATTCATGGGAACTTCAGGTTTTCTTTTTTCTTTTGATTTTGGTGCTCTACCTGGTCATTGTTTTAGGTAATATCTTTATTGTGGTTTTAGTTGTTACTGACTCTCATCTCCATTCTCCCATGTACTTCCTGTTGGCTAACCTTTCTTTTGTTGATTTGTTGCTTTCCTCAGTCACTACTCCAAAGATGATCACAGACTTGCTCAAGGAAAACAAAACCATCTCCTTTGAGGGCTGCATGTGTCAGATCCTCTTTGTGCATTTTGTTGGAGGAGGTGAGATGGTGCTGCTTGTGGCCATGGCTTATGACCGTTATGTAGCTATATGCAAACCACTCCACTACACATCCATCATGAGCCAAAGAAGATGCATTTGGCTTGTAATGATCTCATGGACTATTGGATTCATACACTCTATGAGTCAATTAGTTGTGATTGTAGATCTGCCTTTCTGTGGCCCTAGAGTAGTGAACAGTTTTTTCTGTGACATCCCACTGGTGATTGAGCTTGCCTGCATTGATTCCTATTCCCTGGGAATCTTGATGAATTCTGACAGTGGTGTTCTTGCTATGACATGCTTCATTGTCTTACTGATCTCCTATACTTACATTCTACTCACAGTCCGCCATTACTCCAAAGTTGGGGTATCCAAGGCACTCTCCACTTGCACTGCTCATATTATGGTGGTAGTATTATTCTTTGGACCCTGCATCTTTATCTATGTGTGGCCACTTAACATAACATCAGTGGACAAATTTCTTGCTGTGTTTTACTCAGTCATCACACCTCTCCTGAATCCAGCTATCTATACCTTCAGAAACAAAGAGATCAAAGTTTCCCTGAGAAGATTTAAAAATCAGTATGTGAAATCTAGGTGGAATTTGTAAGTGCTTTGTAATTAGAAATTCCATTTTTTATGTATCTCAGTAGATCAGTCAATGGCTGCAAATGTGTTGCACACAATTCCAGGTATTTGATTTGCAAATGAAAGTTGTCATATAAAATATGATAACATACAAAATTAGCATGTTGATAATCAAGTTCATCATTTATTGTGTCATTCATTGTTAGCTTATTATTTATTATTATATTATAATTTATAATTAATAATTGAATACATTAAATAAATATCTTACTCTAGAAATTTAATGCCCAAGTCTCCATGAGCAATGCTCCATAATGACTCGTTTTCATGCCTCCAGAAAAATCCCAAAAGATCTTTATTTGAATAGACTTTATCTCTCATGTGGTACCAGTGGAATTGGTTTGGTGACTGTGTTCATCCTGAAGTTCAACAGAGAAAGTAAGCTCCAGGGACTATTTCATTTTTGTCTTTGTGTCTCTGGCACTGAGTCCACTGCTTGGTACAGAGTGGACAATTCATAAATGCTTGTTGATTGGTTAATTGAGGTCTTGCACTTAACCTTTATCACAACTGGGATCTTGAAAATTGTTGGTGATTATGATTAATTTGTCAAACTTAAGTGACTTTTGAATAATGGGAAAAAAGTAACAGAATCACTACCTCTTCCTTTTACCCTCCCCTCTCACCTAAGAAGAAAATGGAATTGTTTTTCAAGGGGGAGAAAAAAGGCAATACAGGAGGCAACAAGAAAAATACACTTTGTAGATGTCATTTTATAGTGTTTTTCACCTACTCAGAAGGAATTAAATGAAAGTAAGCCTGTATACTTCCCCTATGAGTCCTTATAATTTCAATCAGATAATGTCTTACACTTGATTTTTTTATTCCATTTGGCTATGATTATGAGTTGTCTGTAGAGTGTAGCCATCAAATACACAATTTGAGAAAAGATCTGTTACTAATACTTGTTTGGTTTACTTTGTTGATCTTCAATTCACAAATCATACGTCACAATCACTTTTTTCTGAGATAAAGTTAATTGTGTCATGGTTAAATTATAAGAAATCATCATTATTGTTTTACCAAACTAATTAAATTGCATGAACAGGGATGATGTTGTCAATATCCTTTGATTCTAGTGGGAAAAAGTCAAAATACAGCAAAAGAGTTAACAAACAACAACAAAAATAATGAACAATAAGCAACAAATTCTAGCATTTATATAGCATTTCAAAATTTGTAAAGTGCTTTTTGCAAACTTACATCATTTAGTAATCAAAATTACCTCATTTGAACCAAATAGTGGAACTTTTCCCCTATAATAAAACTGATGGAGGAGATCATATAATCTAATTGTCAGCCATTTAATCTCTACTGAACAAGATGCCAGGGGTTGAGAGAATTGTAAACATTTTCTTAATTAACATGTTTCCTTTTATGGACCAATTTTAAAATTAGGGGATCGAAATTAGTCCATTCCAGCTTCCTTCATTCTAGGGAACATCTTATCTTTATCTCACTGAATTGATCTAGCCAGTTAGAATGTTTCTTAGCCCTCAACTTGCCCTTCTTTGTAAATTGCCAAATATTCCTCATCCTCCCATCATGGAAGAACTATTTAGGGGCAATATTGCTCTGTATATATTCCCTGGCCTCATTCCTGAGTCTTCTTTTTTGATACAACTAAATATCCTCCTTGACTTGGCATCAGGAAGAGATCTTTGTTTAAATCTTGCTTTACTCACCAGCTGTGTGATACTGGTTAAGTCAATTAGCCTCTCAGACTCAATTTCTTCATTGGATAAGAGGGAAAATAATATCACCTACCTCACAGGGTTGCTGTGAGGATTGACAAAAGTAAAGCTTTTTCCATATCTTAAATTGCTAAACAAGTGCTAATTATCATCATCATCATCATCATCATCATCATCATCATCATCATCATCCTCTTTCACCTCACCTTTTTCACATGAGACAACCCAAATAAAGCAAGATCATTCCAGGTGTGAAAACTTTTGTTGGAGACCATATGCATTTGAACCAAGGAACATAAAACAATTCAAAGCCTGGCAAGTCCTATTTCAAATGTGACTGGATAAGGCCTTTCTGTTACAGAGTAACAGTCATGCGTGACCTGAGATGGGAATGGGCTCTGCATAGATATATTGATATATTTTACTGATTCTCAATCCTTTGATTCCAATAGCTAGCTCTAAATTTTCATTGACATTTCTGATGCAACACTTGTTTCCACATCCTACTGCCACTGAGGCAATAAATACCCTAACTTGTTACTACTACTCATGCTCTCATCCTCATCTAGGTTAGTCCTAATCCTGAACTTTCTCTCTTCTCCCCTTCAACTGTGTCCTCTGGAACCCTCATCTCATTTTTTTTTCAGCCAAAGACAAAGTTTGTTAGAACATCAGTCATATTAAGCAGAGTCTTAAGAAGTCTGAACATTAGTAAGCTATTGGCTAGATTATAAGAATCTAATCAGTGACTAGATTATAGGAATCTAAACCTCATCTCATTTTCTTACAAACTTTTATTCATCTAATATTTCTTCCACTCTTATTCATCTAATCCTTTTTGATTAAAATTAGTGTCTTCTTTCTGATAAAAACTTGGCCTTATGGAAGACATCCCCCTTTATTGGCCACCTGTCCACAGCAGGATGTTCCTTGTCATGCACTTGACACATTAGGCCAAGAAGAGGGGTCAGCATACTTCTTTTTGCTCATTGCCACTTTTAGACTCTCCCTTGATTGTTATCTATTTTCAAACTTTCCTTTTTTGAGAGTCATGACAACTGTCTATATCTTTGGAGTCTGTATATTTTTTGCTGGCTTTCAGGTCATATGCCTTTTTCAAATATTTTAACATCAGATAGTGTTCCTTTCTATAGCATGTGGTACAGTGGTTAAAGGGTTGAATCCAGAGTTACTAAGACCAGAGTTCAAACTGAACCTCAGGCAAATGTCACAGTGGCTGTGTGATCATGGACAGGTTACTTAATTTCTGTTTGCCTCAGTTTGCTCAAATACAAAATGGGGATGAGAACAATGGAGCCAATAATAATGTCAATAAAGTTGGAACAAGAAAGGGATTTAATTCAGTCCAACTAGGCATATGCATTAAGCATGTATTATGTGCCAATGAATGTGTGAATTTCTGGGGATACAAAGAAAAAATTAAAATATCCCTGTTTTCAAAGAGCACATATTCTACTGGCAATATTCAAGGACATTGACAGGGGTCATCTGGCAAAATGTACTTAATGCTGTGGTAAGAGCTCTGGGTTCCATGCTTGGGGGAATCTTATTTACCATGGAGGATTTAGGACCAAACACGCTCACATATTTTTTGGGAGAGAAGTGGTCCTAAGCAGGAGGATCTGCTTAATTTTTAAATGCCTCAGGTGACCAATCAGGTAGGAAAATAGAAATCTTGAACCTAGAAAGTTCCTGACATGGAAGATCTACAAATGTAACCAAAGTGATCTGTATATTAAAAAAAAATATGAAGCAGACTTCCAGGGGCAGAGTCAAAATGGAGGAGTAAAAAAAGCACTCAGACAGACTCTCCCAACATTCCTTTCCAAACAAATTTAAAGTAATTCATGAAATCAAATTCTGGAATGGCAGAGACAACAAAAAATCAGGATGAGACATTCTTCCAGCCCAAGACAACTTAGGAGGTCAGAAAGAGAGCTCTGTGACATGTGGGTAGAAGCAGGCCTGGGGTCTAAGTGTATGCAACAATAGTTGTGGGACACAGTGGTGGAAATAGAAACAGTGGCAGCTTTGGGAGCTCTTAAGCCAGAGGTTTTAAGGGGACCTGACAATTCATCAGAAAGAGATTGCATGGGACCACTGTGCAAGTACTGAACGTAAGACGAGATGTTTGGAGAATCCATCACCTATAACCATTTCTGGGTCATAATTTAAGGGCAGAGGGGGGCAGTTTCAGGGAATAGGTAACAGAAGCCCTGAGGAAACAGTATGATTTTTGGTCACAAAGGATCAGGGACCTTGAGGAACAATATCACTTCTGATCCCAAGGGAGTAGGGAACTGGAGGAGCAGTATTGATTGCAATCCCTGGAGATCAGGGGTCATGCCTGGGTAAGGAATAGAGTGTAGACCAGGAGAGCGTTGACCACACCTCTCCATAGATCACACCACTTTGGAAGCACCAAAAACTTCCAAAACCCTAGAACTAACTCTAAAAATGGTAATATGAAAAAACCCAAAGTCTGAGACAGTGCCCATGCCCCCTTGCACTCTGGCAACAGAGCCCAACTTTAATATGAAATTCAAAATCAAGAAATAGTGTGGAAAACTGAGTAGATTAAAAAAAAGACTTGACCATAAAAATCTACAATGGTGACAGGGAAGATAAAGACACAAACTCAGAAGAAGACAATGAAGTCAAAACAGCTACAAGCAAAGTCACAAAGGAAAAAAAAAAGTAAATTGGAGAAAAACCCATCAAGAATTCCTAGAAGAGCTCAAAAAATGATTTTTAAAATCAATTAAGATTGGTAGAGGAAATTTTAGATAAAAAAAGAAGATAAAAAGAAGATAAAAAAAGGAAGAAAATTATGAAAGGACAATTAACTGGCTGATAAAAGAGGCACAAAAAAAACCTGAAGAAAATAACATCTTAAAAAACAGAATTGGTCATATGGAAAGAGAGGTAAAAAAAATTTAACTGATGAAAATAACTCCTTAAAAAGCAGAATAGGAAAAGAGGTACACAACCTCTCTGAAAAAATAATTCTTTAAAAATTAGAATTGGGCAAGTGGAAGCTAATGACTTCATAAGACATCAAGAAACAATAAAACAAAGCCAAAAGGATTAAAAAAAGAAGAAGAAGAAATTTGAAATATCTCATTGGAGAAATAACTGACCTGGAAAATAGATCCAGGAGGGATAATTTGGGAATTATTGAAGTACCTGAAAGCCATGACCAAAAAATGGAGCCTAGTCATCCTCTTTCAAGAAATTACCAAGGAAT